ATGTTGGCAGCCGCTTCCCGGCCTAATGGAAAATTTCAGCTTTGGCTGCATCAGGAAGGCAGAAAGAGAGGGAGGGAGGGAGGGTGGCAGAGCACAAGTTATTAAGAGATGTTGGGGGAAAAGGTAAGATCATTTGAACAACAGCGGAAGAAACAGCAACCAAAAATGCTTACATGGCAACCTAGGAAATGATGTGCCAAGCCAGCCACTATATTAATTTGTGTCATCGTTAGGGAAACAAATCGTCCACATACAGTAAAACTTCCTATGGGAAATGGGGGGAGCAAGAGAGCGAGGTCCCTATCACATATACACAATTAAGATTCTGTTGGGGGGGGGCACAGGCAGAAGAAAAGGTTGAGAAATCCAGTGTTAAAGGACAAAATGGGTGAGAGGCAGAGAAGCCACTTTTCCGCACCAAGGGAGTGAAAGACCAAAGCATTAAATGGCATTGGTAATTTGAATGGGTGGCGCGGGAGAGCTGAGGTCAGGGAACCATTAACCACGTAGAGGCCCAAGAGGCCAGTGGCTATTTCGCCAGCCTGCATATTGACAAGGATGGCATCCAGGGATCCGCAAGACTTCCCGCCAGATCTCCTCCTGGTATTTAAAGCACAGTGGCCCTTTCCAAACTGCCTTGCAGCACCTCGGTGGCTTAAGAAAGCTAAATGGTGGGATACTAGATTAAAGCAGGGGTGAGCCAAGAACACAGCTGGGCCAAGAATATGGCTTGCATTTTCAGCACCCCAGCCTAAAAACCTATTGTGGTCATCCTTACTTTTGCATGCACTGAAAATGGGGCTTCTTTTTTTTGCACTGCCTTTTGGGCTGAGGGAAAGATGCACTCAAACAACTGCAACAACAGTGGCAGTTGGATTGTTTTTTTTAACACAATCTGCTTCTATTAAAAACCAGTGGAGTCCTTCCCTCCACCTCAGTGGGCCGCGCTCTCCCTGCCATCTGGCCGCTGTTTGCCAGTAGCCTCTTCTAGATGATTTCCATCAGTTCAGAGCCAGGAGAAGGGAAGACACATCATCTGGTCACAAGACTGCACGAGGGGAAAATGAAAGCGGGAAATGGCACATGGGCGTTACAAAAGCCGCCAAGACCCAGTCCAAACTCCACTTCTCACCCTTGGTCAAATCCAGCCTTTTGATTTCAGCAAACAACAGTCCCAGATCAGCCCAAGATCCGATTCCTGGGTAACTGGCTGATGACAAATCAAACAGAATGCAAAAACTATTAATACAGCACACCCACTGGGAACCTATAATCACGAGAGAGAAAAAAACTCTTTAAACCAAATTGAGATAAGACAGGCTTCTTTCCCTTGTGCATCCACGTGTACAAACACAACTCTGATCCTCAAAACGTATTTCAAGTCTTCTGCTGCTCACTGTACATTTACTTAGAAGGCAACCTGCACAACTAAAGAGAAACTCACAAAGCCTGAATCCATTTTTTTGGTCTCAGCTAGAAAAAACCCACAAAATTAAATGGCTCAATTCAGAGAAGCGCTATCCTTAGGCAGGACATCAACAGGAACAATTCCATATATGATGGGGCCCATGCAAACCCTAAGGTAGACCTGCGTTCCTTCTCCAAAACAAAGTGTATCCTCACAAGACGTCCTCCTAAACAAACCTCTTCTGTTGTTTTTAAAGCTGGAATTAGGTTTCTGTGGGTTGCTTTTGGAAACAAAAACATGGACGCAACTTCTTTTTCTTTTTTTCCATTTGAAGCCGGCACCGGGGGGGGGGGGCTCCTGGACCCCTGGAGCATGCCTACCTGCTCTTTGTTTTATGGTATTATTGGTAGTTTTATGGTATTACCGAGGGACACTTTGTTTGGAAAAAATCTTCTATAGAAGGTTACTTTCTCACTATCACCCAACTGAAAAAACCTCAAACTGATCTGATATAAAGAGTTTTAATCAATTACTCTTCTGCAAATCTATCCTGAACAGAAATGACACGTTTAAAGAAAGCTATACACTTCTCCCTCTGTTTGGAGATTATGCACATGGCTGTAATGGTAGTTCATCTGTGGATGGTAAGGTGTGACCCTCCAGATTTATTTTATTAAGTTTCTGTCCCCCTCCTTCCACTAAAACCAGTTATATTCAGGGTGGTGAAGAAAATCAGCACTCAATTTTCTTTTTTTCCAAAAACGAAGGAAACAAAATCATCATCATCAAAAAACTTCACAACAAACATCCGGTTACTAGTTATGCCCTCCTCACCCCTCTTGGTCTCTGCCTAACTGAGGAGGCCAGATCAAGCAAGAGGAAGACCAGTGGGCGAGAACAGGAAGCAGAGATTAAGCAATCCGCCGTAGGTCAAAGGTTACTGGAAGATCAGTTACCGCTAGAGGCAGACGAGGCCGAGATTCAGAGCGCTCAGCGTGCATCCCTGTATCAAACCCCTTTCACTTTCAAGCTGTCTCTTTTCTACATTAAGAGTTCAGGCCTCAATACAATTAAAATACACTAATAATAAAAAACAGTGAGGTTTGAGTGGCAGCATTCCAAGTTCATCAACCATAGACTACACAATTACAATTTTTACAGGACTTTATTTGGTTCTTTTTTTGGGGGGGAGGGGAGTATAAATTATATGATCTGGCAACTTCCCAGCTTGGAAATGGTGGCTAGAAAAAGCACGTTTCTCCTGTAACCCGACCACATGTTTACAAAACATAAAAGGCCCCCCTCTGTGCCTTTTTGAAAAGGGGAAACATAGTTGCCATATAATAGATGTTTCAGAGAAAAGAGTGACAATTTGTCAAAATATTTTCAAATGACTTCCTTGACTTCAGAAACACAAATTTAAAAAGAAGAGAATAATTTTGTTCCACTATGTATTTCTAAAGTTGTTTTTGGAGGGGCTTGTGGTAAAGGCCCATGTTATTTTCTAAGGATGCATGCCTTTTTAAAAAAAAATACTGTATATTATTTTCATTTGTCCAAACCTGCTTTTTTCCAAAGCACATTTGCCTACAGAGCAGGCTGACTTCAGAAACACAAATTTAAAAAGAAGAGAATAATTTTGTTCCACTATGTATTTCTAAAGTTGTTTTTGGAGGGGCTTGTGGTAAAGGCCCATGTTATTTTCTAAGGATGCATGCCTTTTTAAAAAAAAATACTGTATATTATTTTCATTTGTCCAAACCTGCTTTTTTCCAAAGCACATTTGCCTACAGAGCAGGCATGACATTTAAAAGTTTGCTCGCCCTCTGTTCTACATTAAAAGTTCAGGCCTCAATACAATTAAAATACACTAATAATAAAAAACAGTGAGGTTTGAGTGGCAGCATTCCAAGTTCATCAACCATAGACTACACAATTACAATTTTTACAGGACTTTATTTGGTTCTTTTTTTGGGGGGGAGGGGAGTATAAATTATATGATCTGGCAACTTCCCAGCTTGGAAATGGTGGCTAGAAAAAGCACGTTTCTCCTGTAACCCGACCACATGTTTACAAAACATAAAAGGCCCCCCTCTGTGCCTTTTTGAAAAGGGGAAACATAGTTGCCATATAATAGATGTTTCAGAGAAAAGAGTGACAATTTGTCAAAATATTTTCAAATGACTTCCTTGACTTCAGAAACACAAATTTAAAAAGAAGAGAATAATTTTGTTCCACTATGTATTTCTAAAGTTGTTTTTGGAGGGGCTTGTGGTAAAGGCCCATGTTATTTTCTAAGGATGCATGCCTTTTTAAAAAAAAATACTGTATATTATTTTCATTTGTCCAAACCTGCTTTTTTCCAAAGCACATTTGCCTACAGAGCAGGCATGACATTTTAAAAGTTTGCTCGCCCTCTGTCACCATCTAGAGAACAAAAACCAGGAAAACTCAGCCGAGGCATTTCAACCCGCCCGCCCGCCCGTCTGATTCATGCGATGTTATGATTAATCCTTCATGATGATAGATCCTCGTGCCACAAGGCACAGCGCTCAGCAGCTGCACTTCGTACCACGGAGGCCAACCCCAGAGTCCAAGTTATTCAATTAAACTAAAAAACACGACTTGTCATTACCATGACTTCCTTTCCTCTGCTCAGGCAAACAAGTCACCGACATTTTCATGCTAATGAGAGTCCGCAAATGAGTAACCCAGCCTTCGAGCAACGTTGACAGATTCGGTTTCCCGGTAAAGCTGTGTGGGAACGACCACCCAGCCAAAACACCACCTTTGGCCTGCTGTTTCCATTGCTCCTTACTGCCTCTCAAGCAGGAAGAAGAGCTGCTTTTTAACACAGTTCCCCTGCAAACAGCAAAGCAGCAGCGGCAGGAACCGAACCAAACCTTTTAGAGATCTGCCATCCTGATCAGCATTTCCACAAAAGCTGTTCCACCTTGTGAAGTGCCCGTTCCTATTCGCTGCATGGCAGAAGCTTGCTAAATCTGGCAGCCTCTCAGTTTCTGATAATTCCAGGAAGGACAAGACTAAATCAGCTCATGGAACGAAAACAAAACCTGTCGTTGGCCATCCGCGCAATCCAGAAAAAAACAACAACCACTCTTTGATGCTCTCTGTTTGTGTGGCAGAGAAGAAAACCCACCCCCGTCTCTGCTCCCTGAGGTACAACAGGGCCCATTTTCCACATGGCCTCTAACTATACTATCTGTCCTCAAACCTGTGTCAGGAACAAAACCCACATTACCTAGCGTGCCTTTAAAAGTCAGTCTGACTAACACCGGCTTCTTTCCAGCACTACTGGATAAACCACACAACTTTGCAAAGAAAAATGGTTTCCTAAAAACGAAACCAAACCAAACCACAATGCTTTAAAACAACAGCCGTGAAACTCTATTTCCCTGTTGCTGCAGCAGCAGGATGATCCATAAACAGCTGAGTTAGAAACCCAACATAGGGTTAAAGGCTTTGTAAGATCAAACGGAAGAATGCAGAACAGCCTTTTTTTAAAAAAGCAGCAGCGGCAGCAGCAGCAGCAGCAGCAGGAGCAAGTTACATAAAGTCCACCAACACTTACCGTCTCCTTATTGGGAAGAAGTTCTTTCCGGATCCTGAAGAAGTTCTTCCCATATTGTCTGAGTCCTTTAATGAACCGTTTCTGCATTAAAACAAAATCAGAATGTCATCTGGTGAAGGGGGAGAGGGGAAAGAATCTCCAACAAGCATCACCATAATAACTTCCTGGCTGTAGGTAAAAAAATAAAATAAAATAGAAATGTAAGCCCCATCAAAAGTCCACTGTTCCAGGTCTGGGCCTCAAATCTAATTCAGGACCAGAAGGTTTCAACACATACAAAAGAAACACCCTCATGGCTTTTTTAAACAAACTGACATCAGCATGTCTGTTTTGAAGGGCTGCTGCCGGTCTTCATAAAAATAAATGTGAAACCCATAAGCAAGATCTATTTCCAGCTCAAGCAGGCCATGAAGCTGGGGGGGGGGGAGACACACCATGTTTTTTGTTCC